TCCACTCACCCGTGCACTCACCCACCCATCCACTCACCCGTCCACTCACTCACTCACTCAACCACCCATCCACTCACTCACTCAACCACCCATCCACTCACTCACTCACCCACCCGCCCACTCACTCACCCATCCACTCACTCAACCTCCCATCCACTCACTCACTCAACCACTCATCCACTCACTCACTCACTCAACCACCCATCCGCTCACTCACTCGGTTTGTAACCGATTGGTCCACACCAGAGACAGCGTTCTTTAGAGCCGAGTCTCAAACAGCGTTAGACCTGAGGACAACGCCAAAAGACGAACAGCACCAGGGCAATGCCACATTTGTTTGCATGGCCACCACGAGTACTGTGTGTGGCTAATGCAGGACGGGATTCCTTGCGAAAGGTTTCAGTTTGGTGTTTTAACAACTTAACGTAACTCCTGTTTAATTATGGCCACCCACCCCACTCACACCACCCCACCAACCCCACCCCACCCCACCCACCCCACTCACCCCACCCACCCCACCCACCCCACCCCACTCACCCCACCCCACTCACCCCACCCACCCCACCCCACCCACCCCACCCACCCCACCCACCCCACCCCACCCACCCCACCCCACTCCACCCCACTCCACTCACCCCACCCCACTTCACCCACCCCACCCCACCCACCCACCCCACCCCACTTCACCCACCCCACCCCACCCCACTCACCCCACCCACCCCACCCCACCCACCCCACCCCACTCACCCCACCCCACCCCACCCCACCCCACCCACCCCACCCCCCTACACCGCTTTGCCCCACCACCACCACCACCCACCCCCACCCACCCCACTCACCCCACCCACCCCACTCACCCCACCCCACCCCACCCCACCCACCCCACCCCACCCACCCCACCCCCCTACACCGCTTTGCCCCACCACCACCACCACCACCCACCCACCGCCACCACCCTCAGCTCCCTACGAATCCGCTGGTGCCTGCAGCTGGACCTCCCCGGGGGCCGCTCCCATGAGGTGGAGGTTGAGGCCGGCGCCGGTGGTGCCGGTGCCGGTGCCGCCGGCGGCGATGGCGCCTGGCGCCTGCGTGAGTGCGGTGCCTCGGTGCGCTTCGCCGCTCACCGCTGGCCTGCCAGCCCCTCGCGCCTGCGTCTCTACGCCCTCGTTCCCGCGCTGCCCGAGGGGCCGTGAGTAGCCGGCGCCACGCACAGGCGCCCGCACGCTCGCCCACACGCTCGCCCATACGCTCGCTCACACGCTCACCCACACGCTCGTTGACTCGTTCACACACTCGCCCACACGCTCGTTCACTCATTCACTCGCTCACTCGCTCGCCCACACACTCGCCCACAGGCGCCCACACGCTCACCCACACGCTCGTTCACTCGCTCGCCCACACGCTCGCCCACACGCTCGTTCACTCGCTCGCCCACACGCTCGTTCACTCGTTCGCCCACACGCTCACCCACACGCTCACCCACACGCTCACCCACACGCTCGTTCACTCGCTCGCCCACACGCTCGTTCACTCGCTCGTTCACTCGCTCACCCACACGCTCGTTCACTCGTTCGCACGCTCGCCCACACGCTCACCCACACGCTCGTTCACTCGCTCGCCCACACGCTCGTTCACTCGCTCGTTCACTCGCTCACCCACACGCTCGTTCACTCGTTCACACGCTCACCCACACACTCGCCCGTCCGCTCGCCCACACGCTCGCCCACACGCTCACCCACACGCTCACCCACACGCTCGTTCACTCGCTCACTCGCTCGTTCACTCGCTCACCCACACGCTCGTTCACTCGTTCACTCGCTCGTTCACACGCCTGTCCGCTCACCCACACGCTCGTTCACTCGCTTGTTCACTCGCTCGTTCACACGCTCACCCACACGCTCACCCACACGCTCGTTCACTCGTTCACACGCTCACGCACACGCTCGTTCACACACTCGTTCACACGCTCACCCACACACTCGCCCGTCCGCTCGCCCACACGCTCGCCCATACGCTCGTTCACTCGCCCACACGCTCGTTCACTCGCTCGTTGACTCGTTCACACGCTCACCCACACGCTCGTTCACATGCTCACTCACACGCTCACTCACACGCTCACTCACACGCTCGCCCACACGCTCGCCCACAAGCTCGTTCACACGCTCGCCCACACGCTCGCTCACCTGCCCACACGCTTGTTCACTCGCTCGCCCACTCGCCTGCACATTTGCCCACTCACCTAGCTAGTCACCCACCCAGCCACTCACTCACCTACTCACCCACCCACCTATTCACCCACCCAGCCACCTACTCACCCACCCACCTACTCACCCACCCACCTACTCACCCACCCAGCCACCCACCCACCCAGCCACCCACCCACTCACTCACCCACCCACCTACTCACCCACCCACCTACCCACCCACCTACTCACCCACCCACCTACCCACCCACCCACTCACCTACCCACCCACCCACTCACCCACTCACCCACCCACCCACCCACCTACTCACCCACCCACCCACCTACCCACCCACCTACTCACCCACCCACCTACCCACCCACCTACTCACCCACCCACCTACCCACCCACCCACTCACCTACCCACCCACCCACTCACCCACTCACCCACCCACCTACTCACCCACTCACCCACCTACCCACCCACCTACCCACCCACCCACCTACCCACCCACCTACCCACCCACCCACCTACTCACCCACCCACCTACCCACCCACCCACCTACTCACCCACCCACCTACCCACCCACCTACTCACCCACCCACCTACCCACCCACCTACTCACCCACCCACCTACCCACCCACCCACTCACCTACCCACCCACCCACTCACCCACTCACCCACCCACCTACTCACCCACCCACCCACCTACCCACCCACCTACTCACCCACCCACCTACCCACCCACCCACCCACCTACCCACCCACCCACCTACTCACCCACCCACTCACCCACTCACCTACTCACCCACCTACTCACCCATCCACCCACTCACCCACCCACTCACCCACCCACCCACCCACCTACTCACCCCCTCTCCCCCACGCTTGTGCCCTGCCAGCCTGTGCCACCGCTCACTGCTGGGAGACTGGCACCTCAAGGCGGCGCTGTCCGCTGTGCCGGGGCCTCACGGCGCCCTGCCGCTGGCGAGCACCAGCCTGGCCCTGCACGCCCTTCACACTGGGCTCATCGTGGGTGTGTGGAAGGTGTGTCTCTGTGTGTGTGTCTGTGTGTCTGTGTGTGTCTCTGTGTGTCTCTGTGTGTCTTTGTGTGTGTGTCTGTGTGTCTGTGTGTGTCTCTGTGTGTCTCTGTGTGTCTCTGTGTGTCTCTGTGTGTCTCTGTGTGTCTCTGTGTGTCTCTGTCTCACTCTGTGTGTCTCTGTGTCTCTGTGTGTCTCTGTCTCACGCCCTGCACGCCCTTCACGCTGGGCTCATCGTGGGCGTGTGGAAGGTGTGGGGAGGTCTCTCTGTCTCTGTGTGTGTCTCTGTGTGTGTGTCTCTGTGTGTCTGTGTGTGTCTCTGTGTGTCTCTCTGTGTGTCTGTGTGTGTCTCTGTGTGTCTCTGTGTGTGTCTCTGTGTGTCTCTGTGTGTCTCTGTGTCTCTGTGTGTGTCTCTGTGTGTCTCTGTGTGTCTCTGTGTGTCTCTGTGTGTGTCTCTGTGTGTCTCTGTGTGTGTCTCTGTCTCTGTGTGTCTCTCTGTCTCACTCTGTGTCTCTGTGTGTCTCTGTGTGTCTCTGTGTCACGCCCTTCACGCTGGGCTCCTCGTGGGTGTGTGGAAGGTGTGGGAGGTCTCACTCTGTGTGTGTCTGTGTGTGTCTGTGTGTGTGTCTCTGTGTGTGTCTGTGTGTGTGTGTGTGTCACTCTGTGTGTCTCACTCTGTGTGTCTCACTCTGTGTGTGTCTCTGTGTGTGTCTCTGTGTGTCTCTGTGTGTCTGTGTGTGTCTCTGTGTGTCTCTGTGTGTGTTTGTGTGTGTCTGTGTGTGTCTCTGTGTGTCTCTGTGTGTGTCTGTGTGTGTCTCTGTGTGTCTCTGTGTGTCTCACTCTGTGTGTCTCTGTGTCTCTCAGTGTGTCTCTGTGTGTCTCTGTGTGTGTCTCTGTGTGTCTCTGTGTGTCTCTGTGTGTGTCTCTGTGTGTCTCTGTGTGTCTCTATCTCACTCTGTGTGTGTCTCTGTGTGTCTCTGTCTCACGCCCTGCACGCTGGGCTCCTCGTGGGCGTGTGGAAGGTGTGGGGAGGTCTCTCTGTGTGTCTCTGTGTGTCTCTGTGTGTCTCTGTGTGTCTCTGTGTGTGTCTCTGTGTGTCTCTGTCTCACGCCCTGCACGCTGGGCTCCTCGTGGGCGTGTGGAAGGTGTGGGGAGGTCTCTCTGTGTGTCTCTGTCTCACTCTGTGTGTGTCTCTCTGTGTCTCTGTGTGTGTCTCTCTGTGTGTGTCTCTGTGTGTCTCTCTGTCTCTGTGTGTGTCTGTGTCTCTGTGTGTCTCTGTGTGTGTGTCTCTGTCTCACTCCCTTCACGCTGGGCTCCTCCTGGGCGTGTGGAAGGTGTGTCTCTGTCTCACTCTGTGTGTGTGTCTGTGTCTCTGTGTGTCTCTGTGTGTCTCTGTGTCACTCTGTGTGTCTCTCTGTCTCACTCTGTGTCTCTGTGTGTCTCTGTGTGTCTCTGTGTGTGTCTGTGTGTCTCTGTGTGTGTATGTGTGTGTGTGTCTCACTCTGTGTGTCTCACTCTGTGTGTGTCTCTGTGTGTGTCTCTGTGTGTCTCTGTGTGTGTCTGTGTGTGTGTGTGTCTCACTCTGTGTGTCTCACTCTGTGTGTCTCACTCTGTGTGTGTCTCTGTGTGTGTCTCTGTGTGTCTCTGTGTGTCTGTGTGTGTCTCTGTGTGTCTCTGTGTGTGTTTGTGTGTGTCTGTGTGTGTCTCTGTGTGTCTCTGTGTGTGTCTGTGTGTGTCTCTGTGTGTCTCTGTGTGTCTCACTCTGTGTGTCTCTGTGTCTCTCTGTGTGTCTCTGTGTGTCTCTGTGTGTGTCTGTGTGTGTGTCTGTGTGTCTCTGTGTGTCTCTGTGTGTCTCTGTGTGTCTTTGTGTGTGTCTCTGTGTGTCTCTGTGTGTGTGTCTGTGTGTGTGTCTCTGTGTGTGTCTCTGTGTGTGTCTCTGTGTGTGTGTCTGTGTGTGTGTCTCTGTGTGTGTCTCTGTGTGTGTGTCTGTGTGTGTGTCTCTGTGTGTGTCTCTGTGTGTGTCTCTGTGTGTCTCTGTGTCTGTCTCTGTGTGTGTCTCTGTGTGTGTCTGTGTGTGTGTCTCTGTGTGTGTGTGTGTCTCTGTCACTGTGTGTGTGTCTGTGTCTCTGTGTGTCTCTGTGTGTCTCTGTGTGTGTCTGTGTCTCTGTGTGTGTCTCTGTGTCTGTCTCTGTGTGTGTCTCTGTGTGTGTCTCTGTGTGTGTCTCTGTGTGTGTCTCTGTGTGTGTGTGTGTCTCTGTCACTGTGTGTGTGTCTGTGTCTCTGTGTGTCTCTGTGTGTCTCTGTGTGTGTCTCTGTCTCTGTGTGTCTCTGTGTGTGTCTCTGTGTGTGTCTGTGTGTCTCTGTGTGTCTCTGTGTGTGTCTCTGTCTCTGTGTGTGTCTCTGTGTGTCTCTGTCTCTGTGTTTGTCTTTGTCTCTCTGTGTGTCTCGGTGTGTCTCTGTGTCTGTCTCTGTGTCTCTGTGTGTGTGTCTGTGTGTGTCTCTCTGTGTGTGTCTCTGTGTGTCTCTGTGTGTCTCTGTGTCTGTCTCTGTGTCTCTGTGTGTGTGTCTGTGTGTGTGTCTGTGTGTGTGTCTCTGTGTGTGTCTCTGTGTGTCTCTGTGTCTCTCTGTGTGTGTTTCTCTGTGTGTCTCTCTGTCTCTGTGTGTCTCTGTGTGTCTCTGTGTCTCTGTGTGTCTCTCTGTCTCACTCTGTGTCTCTCTGTCTCTGTGTGTCTCTCTGTCTCACTCTGTGTGTGTCTCTCTGTCTCACTCTGTGTGTCTCCGTGTGTCTCTGTGTGTCTCTGTGTGTCTCTGTGTCTCTCTGTCTCACTCTGTGTGTCTCTCTGTCTCTGTGTGTCTCTGTCTCTGTGTGTCTGTCTGTGTCTCTCTCTGTGTCTCTCTGTCTCTCTGTGTCTCTGTGTGTCTCTCTGTCTCTGTGTCTCTCTGTGTCTGTCTGTGTCTCTCTCTGTGTCTCTCTGTGTCTCTCTGTGTCTGTCTGTCTGTGTATCTCTCTGTGTCTCTGTCTCTCTCTGTGTCTCTGTGTCTCTCTGTGTCTGTCTGTGTCCCTCTCTGTGTCTCTCTGTGTCTGTCTGTGTCTCTCTCTGTGTCTCTGTCTCTCTCTTTGTCTCTGTGTCTCTCTGTGTCTCTCTGTGTCTGTCTCTGTCTCTCTCTGTGTCTCTCTGTGTCTGTCTGTGTCTCTCTGTGTCTCTCTGTGTCTCTGTTTCTGTCTGTGTCTCTCTCTGTGTCTCTCTCTGTGTCTCTCTGTGTCTCTCTGGAGGGGTCGGAATTGAACCCACGACCTCCTGCGTACCAGGCGTGGTAGTCAACATCTCCTAGCCACCGTGATGATGATGATAAGAGAGAGACACAGACTCCACATAGACCTCCTGCGTACCAGGCGTGGTAGTCAACATCTCCTGGCCACCGTGATGATGATGATGATGAGAGAGAGACGCAGACTCCACATAGACCTCCTGTAGACCAGGCGAGGTAGTCAACATCTCCTAGCCACCGTGATGATGATGATGATGAGAGAGAGACACAGACTCCACATAGACCTCCCGCGTACCAGGCGAGGTGGTCAACATCTCCTAGCCACCGTGATGATGATGAGAGAGAGAGAGAGACACAGACTCCACATAGACCTCCTGTAGACCAGGCGAGGTAGTCAACATCTCAGCCACCGTGATGATGAGAGAGAGACGCAGACTCCACATAGACCTCTTGTAGACCAGGCGAGGTAGTCAACATCTCCTAGCCACCGTGATGATGATGATGAGAGAGACACAGACTCCACATAGACCTCCTGTACACCAGGCGAGGTAGTCAACATCTCATAGCCACCGTGATGATGAGAGAGAGACACAGACTCCACATAGACCTCCTGTAGACCAGGCGAGGTGGTCAACATCTCATAGCCACTGTGATGATGATGAGAGAGACACAGACTCCACATAGACCTCCTGTATACCAGGCGAGGTAGTCAACATCTCCTAGCCACCGTGATGATGAGAGAGAGACACAGACTCCACATAGACCTCCTGTAGACCAGGCGAGGTGGTCAACATCTCCTGGCCACCGTGATGATGATGATGATGATGAGAGAGAGACACACAGACACCACATAGACCTCCCGCGTACCAGGCGAGGTAGTGAACATCTCCTATCCACCGTGATGATGATGATGAGAGAGATGCAGACTCCACATAGACCTCCCGCGTACCAGGCGAGGTAGTCAACATCTCATAGCCACCGTGATGATGATGATGATGAGAGACAGACTCCATATAGACCTCCTGTAGACCTGGCGAGGTAGTCAACATCTCCTAGCCACCGTGATGATGATGATGAGAGAGACACAGACTCCACATAGACCTCCTGTAGACCGGGCGAGGTAGTCAACATCTCCTAGCCACCGTGATGATGATGATGATGACGATGAGAGACACAGACTCCACATAGACCTCCTGTAGACCAGGCGAGGTGGTCAACATCTCCTAGCCACCGTGATGATGATGATGAAAGAGAGAGACACAGACTCCACATAGACCTCCTGTAGACCAGGCGAGGTAGTCAACATCTCCTAGCCACCGTGATGATGATGATGAGAGAGAGAGACACAGACACCACATAGACCTCCTGTAGACCAGGCGAGGTAGTCAACATCTCCTAGCCACCGTGATGATGATGATGAGAGAGACACAGACTCCACATAGACCTCCCGCGTACCAGGCGAGGTAGTCAACATCTCATATCCACCGTGATGATGATGATGAGAGAGAGATGCAGACTCCACATAGACCTCCCGCGTACCAGGCGAGGTAGTCAACATCTCCTAGCCACCGTGATGATGATGATGATGAGAGAGACACAGACTCCACATAGACCTCCTGTAGACCAGGCGAGGTAGTCAACATCTCCTAGCCACCGTGATGATGATGAGAGAGACACAGACACCACATAGACCTCCTGTAGACCAGGCGAGGTAGTCAACATCTCCTAGCCACCGTGATGATGATGAGAGAGACACAGACACCACATAGACCTCCCGCGTACCAGGCGAGGTAGTCAACATCTCATGGCCGCTTGCCGAGAGCGGCACTCTCGGCCTGGATGGGGGACCTTTGTCTCCGTGTTGTTGTTGATGTTGTTGTGTTGTTGATGTGTTGTTGTTGTGTTGTTGTTGTGTTGTTGATGTTGTTGTGTTGTTGTGTTGTTGTTGATGTGTTGTTGATGTTGTGTTGTTGTTGTGTTGTTGTTGATGTTGTTGATGTGTTGATGTTGTGTTGTTGTGTTGTTGTTGATGTGATGTTGTTGTTGTGTTGTTGTTGATGTGTTGTTGATGTGTTGTTGTGTTGTTGTTGTTGTGTTGTTGTTGTGTTGTTGTTGATGTTGATGTGTTGTTGATGTGTTGTTGTTGTTGTGTTGTTGTTGTGTTGTTGGTGTTGTGTTGTTGTGTTGTTGTTGATGTGTTGTTGATGTGATGTTGTTTATGTGATGTTGTTGTTGTGTTGTTGTGTTGTGTTGTTGTGTTGTTGTTGTGTTGTTGATGTTGTTGTGTTGTTGTGTTGTTGATGTGTTGTTGATGTTGTGTTGTTGTTGTGTTGTTGTTGTGTTGTTGTTGTTGATGTGTTGTTGATGTGTTGTTGTTGTGTTGTTGTGTTGTTGTTGTGTTGTTGTTGTTGATGTGTTGTTGTTGTGTTGTTGTTGATGTTGTTGTTGTGTTGTTGATGTGTTGTTGATGTGTTGTTGTGTTGTTGTTGTGTTGTTGTGTTGTTGTTGTGTTGTTGTTGTGTTGTTGATGTGTTGTTGTGTTGTTGATGTGTTGTTGTGTTGTTGATGTGGTGTTATTGTTGATGTGTCGTTGTTGTGTTGTTGTTGATGTGTTGTTGATGTGTTGTTGTTGTGGTGTTGTTGTGTTGTTGTTGTTGTTGTGTTGTTGTTGTGTTGTTGTTGATGTTGTTGTGTTGTTGTTGTGTTGTTGATGTGTTGTTGATGTGTTGTTGTGTTGTTGTTGTGTTGTTGTTGTGTTGTTGTGTTGTTGTTGATGTGTTGTTGTTGTGTTGTTGTGTTGTTGTTGATGTGTTGTTGATGTGTTGTTGTTGTTGTTGTTGTGTTGTTGTTGTGTTGTTGTGTTGTTGTGTTGTTGTTGATGTTGTTGATGTGTTGTTGATGTGTTGTTGTTGTTGTGTTGTTGTTGTTGTGTTGTTGGTGTTGTATTGTTGTTGATGTGTCGTTGTTGTTGTGTTGTTGATGTGTTGTTGTTGTTGTGTTGTTGTGTTGTTGTGTTGTTGTTGTGTTGTTGTTGTTGTGTTGATGTGTTGTTGTTGTGTTGTTGATGTGTTGTTGATGTGTTGTTGTTGTTGTGTTGTTGTTGTGTTGTTGTGTTGTTGTTGATGTGTTGTTGTTGTGTTGTTGTTGATGTGTTGTTGATGTGTTGGTGTGTTGTTGTTGTTGTGTTGTTGTTGTGTTGTTGTTGATGTTGATGTGTTGTTGATGTGTTGTTGTTGTGTTGTTGTTGTGTTGTTGGTGTTGTGTTGTTGTGTTGTTGTTGATGTGTTGTTGATGTGGTGTTGTCTATGTGATGTTGTTGTTGATGTGTTGTTGTTGTGTTGTTGTGTTGTGTTGTTGTGTTGTTGTTGTTGTGTTGTTGTTGTTGATGTGTTGTTGTTGTTGTGTTGTTGTTGTGTTGTTGTGTTGTTGTTGATGTCTTGTTGTGTTGTTGTTGTTGTGTTGATGTGTTGTTGTGTTGTTGTTGTTGTGTTCTTGATGTGTTGTTGTTGTTGTTGTTGTGTTGTTGATGTGGTGTTATTGTTGATGTGTCGTTGTTGTTGTGTTGTTGATGTGATGTTATTGTTGATGTGTCGTTGTTGTTGTGTTGTTGTTGCTGTGTTGTTGTTGTGTTGTTGTTGTGTTGTTGTTGTGTTGTTGATGTGTTGTTGTTGTTGTTGCCCGTAGGAGGGGGGCGACGTCGCCTTTGTGGAGTGGAACGCGCCGCTGCAGACGCTGCTGCAGCGCTGTACCTCTGGCACCACCTCCAGGTGGACGAGCCTCTGTCTCTGTGTGTCTCTGTGTGTCTCTGTGTGTCTCTGTGTCTCTGTGTGTCTCTGTGTGTCTCTGTGTGTCTGTGTGTCTCTGTGTCTCTGTGTCTCTGTGTGTCTCTGTGTCTCTGTGTGTCTCTGTGTGTCTCTGTGTGTCTCTGTGTGTCTCTGTGTGTCTCTGTGTGTCTGTGTGTCTCTGTGTGTCTCTGTGTGTCTCTGTGTGTCTCTGTGTGTCTCTGTGTGTCTGTGTGTCTCTGTGTGTCTCTGTGTGTCTCTGTGTGTCTCTGTGTGTGTCTGTGTGTCTCTGTGTCTCTGTGTGTCTCTGTGTCTCTGTGTGTCTCTGTGTCTCTGTGTCTCTGTGTGTCTCTGTGTCTCTGTGTGTCTCTGTGTCTCTGTGTCTCTGTGTGTCTCTGTGTGTCTCTGTGTGTCTCTGTGTGTCTGTGTGTCTCTGTGTGTCTCTGTGTGTCTCTGTGTGTCTCTGTGTGTCTCTATGTGTCTGTGTGTCTCTGTGTGTCTCTGTGTCTCTGTGTGTCTCTGTGTCTCTCTGTGTGTCTCTGTGTGTCTCTGTGTGTCTCTGTGTGTCTCTGTGTGTCTCTGTGTCTCTGTGTGTCTCTGTGTGTCTCTGTGTGTCTCTGTGTGTCTCTGTGTGTCTCTGTGTGTCTCTGTGTGTCTCTGTGTCTCTGTGTGTCTCTGTGTGTGTCTCTGTGTGTCTCTGTGTCTCTGTGTGTCTCTGTGTGTCTCTGTGTGTCTCTGTGTGTCTCTGTGTGTCTGTGTGTCTCTGTGTGTCTCTGTGTCTCTGTGTGTCTCTGTGTGTCTCTGTGTCTCTCTCTGTGTGTCTCTGTGTGTCTCTGTGTGTCTCTGTGTCTCTCTGTGTGTCTCTGTGTGTCTCTGTGTGTCTCTGTGTATCTGTGTCTCTGTGTCTCTGTGTGTCTCTGTGTGTCTCTGTGTGTCTCTGTGTGTCTCTGTGTGTCTCTGTGTCTCTGTGTGTCTCTGTGTGTCTCTGTGTCTCTGTGTGTCTCTGTGTGTGTCTCTGTGTGTCTCTGTGTCTCTGTGTGTGTCTGTGTGTCTCTGTGTGTCTCTGTGTGTCTCTGTGTATCTGTGTGTGTCTGTGTGTCTCTGTGTCTCTGTGTGTCTCTGTGTGTGTCTGTGTCTCTGTGTGTCTCTGTGTGTGTCTCTGTGTGTCTCTGTGTCTCTGTGTGTCTCTGTGTGTCTCTGTGTGTCTCTGTGTGTCTCTGTGTGTCTCTGTGTGTCTCTGTGTGTCTCTGTGTGTCTCTGTGTGTCTCTGTGTGTCTCTGTGTGTCTCTGTGTGTCTCTGTGTGTCTCTGTGTGTCTCTGTGTGTCTCTGTGTCTCTGTGTGTCTCTGTGTGTCTCTGTGTGTCTCTGTGTGTCTCTGTGTGTCTCTGTGTGTCTCTGTGTGTCTCTGTGTGTCTCTGTGTCTCTGTGTGTCTCTGTGTGTCTCTGTGTGTCTGTGTGTCTCTGTGTGTCTCTGTGTCTCTGTGTGTCTCTGTGTGTCTCTGTGTGTCTCTGTGTGTCTCTGTGTGTCTCTGTGTGTCTCTGTGTGTCTCTGTGTGTCTCTGTGTGTCTCTGTGTGTCTCTGTGTGTCTCTGTGTGTCTCTGTGTCTCTGTGTGTCTGTGTCTCTGTGTGTCTCTGTGTGTCTCTGTGTGTCTCTGTGTCTCTCTGTGTGTCTGTGTGTCTCTGTGTCTCTCTGTGTGTCTCTGTGTCTCTGTGTCTCTCTGTGTGTCTCTGTGTGTCTCTGTGTGTGTCTGTGTGTCTCTGTGTGTCTCTGTGTGTCTCTGTGTGTCTCTCTGTGTGTCTCTGTGTGTCTCTGTGTGTCTCTGTGTGTCTCTGTGTGTCTCTGTGTGTCTCTGTGTGTCTCTCTGTGTGTCTCTGTGTGTCTCTGTGTGTGTCTCTGTGTCTCTGTGTGTCTCTGTGTGTCTCTGTGTGTCTCTGTGTGTCTCTGTGTGTGTGTCTGTGTGTCTCTGTGTGTCTCTGTGTGTCTCTGTGTGTCTCTGTGTGTCTCTGTGTCTCTGTGTGTCTCTGTGTGTGTCTGTGTGTCTCTGTGTGTCTCTGTGTCTCTGTGTGTGTCTGTGTGTCTCTGTGTGTCTCTGTGTCTCTGTGTGTCTCTGTGTGTCTCTGTGTGTCTCTGTGTGTCTGTGTGTGTCTCTGTGTGTCTCTGTGTGTGTGTCTGTGTGTCTCTGTGTGTCTCTGTGTGTCTCTGTGTGTCTCTGTGTGTCTCTGTGTGTCTCTGTGTCTCTGTGTGTCTCTGTGTGTCTCTGTGTGTCTCTGTGTGTCTCTGTGTGTCTCTGTGTGTCTCTGTGTGTCTCTGTGTGTCTCTGTGTGTCTCTGTGTGTCTCTGTGTGTCTCTGTGTCTCTGTGTGTCTCTGTGTGTCTCTGTGTGTCTCTGTGTGTCTCTGTGTGTCTCTGTGTCTCTGTGTGTCTCTGTGTGTCTCTGTGTGTCTCTGTGTGTCTCTGTGTGTCTCTGTGTGTCTCTGTGTGTCTCTGTGTGTCTCTGTGTGTCTCTGTGTCTCTGTGTGTCTCTGTGTGTCTCTGTGTGTCTCTGTGTGTCTCTGTGTCTCTCTGTGTGTCTCTGTGTGTCTCTGTGTGTCTCTGTGTGTGTCTCTGTGTGTCTCTGTGTGTCTCTGTGTGTCTCTGTGTGTCTCTGTGTGTCTCTGTGTGTGTCTGTGTGTCTCTGTGTGTGTCTCTGTGTGTCTCTGTGTGTGTCTGTGTGTCTCTGTGTGTCTCTGTGTGTCTCTGTGTGTCTCTGTGTGTCTCTGTGTGTCTCTGTGTCTCTGTGTCTCTGTGTGTCTCTGTGTGTCTCTGTGTGTCTCTGTGTGTCTCTGTGTGTCTCTGTGTCTCTGTGTGTCTCTGTGTGTCTCTGTGTGTCTCTGTGTGTCTCTGTGTGTCTCTGTGTGTCTCTGTGTGTCTCTGTGTGTCTGTGTGTCTCTGTGTGTCTCTGTGTGTCTCTGTGTGTCTCTGTGTCTCTCTGTGTGTCTCTGTGTCTCTGTGTGTCTCTGTGTGTGTCTCTGTGTGTCTCTGTGTGTCTCTGTGTGTCTCTGTGTGTCTCTGTGTGTGTCTCTGTGTGTCTCTGTGTGTCTCTGTGTGTCTCTGTGTGTCTCTGTGTGTCTCTGTGTGTCTCTGTGTGTCTCTGTGTGTCTCTGTGTGTCTCTGTGTCTCTGTGTGTCTCTGTGTGTCTCTGTGTGTCTCTGTGTCTCTGTGTGTCTCTGTGTGTCTCTGTGTGTCTCTGTGTGTCTCTGTGTGTCTCTGTGTGTGTCTCTGTGTGTCTCTGTGTGTCTCTGTGTGTCTCTGTGTGTCTCTGTGTGTCTCTGTGTCTCTGTGTGTCTCTGTGTGTCTCTGTGTCTCTGTGTGTCTCTGTGTGTCTCTGTGTCTCTGTGTCTCTGTGTGTCTCTGTGTGTCTCTGTGTGTCTCTGTGTCTCTGTGTGTCTCTGTGTGTCTCTGTGTGTCTCTGTGTCTCTCTGTGTGTCTCTGTGTCTCTGTGTGTCTCTGTGTGTCTCTGTGTGTCTCTGTGTGTCTCTGTGTGTCTCTGTGTGTCTCTGTGTCTCTGTGTGTCTCTGTGTGTCTCTGTGTGTCTCTGTGTGTCTCTGTGTGTCTCTGTGTGTCTCTGTGTGTCTCTGTGTGTCTCTGTGTGTCTCTCTGTGTGTCTCTGTGTGTCTCTGTGTGTCTCTGTGTGTCTCTGTGTCTCTGTGTGTCTCTGTGTGTCTCTGTGTGTCTCTGTGTGTCTCTGTGTGTCTCTGTGTGTCTCTGTGTGTCTCTGTGTGTCTCTGTGTGTCTCTGTGTGTCTCTGTGTGTCTCTGTGTGTCTCTGTGTGTCTCTGTGTGTCTCTGTGTGTCTCTGTGTCTCTGTGTGTCTCTGTGTGTCTCTGTGTGTCTCTGTGTGTCTCTGTGTGTCTCTGTGTGTCTCTGTGTGTCTCTGTGTGTCTCTGTGTGTCTCTGTGTGTCTCTGTGTGTCTCTGTGTGTCTCTGTGTGTCTCTGTGTGTCTCTGTGTGTCTCTGTGTGTCTCTGTGTGTCTCTGTGTGTCTCTGTGTGTCTCTGTGTGTCTCTCTGTGTGTCTCTGTGTGTCTCTGTGTGTCTCTGTGTGTCTCTGTGTCTCTGTGTGTCTCTGTGTGTCTCTGTGTGTCTCTGTGTGTCTCTGTGTGTCTCTGTGTGTCTCTGTGTGTCTCTGTGTGTCTCTGTGTGTCTCTGTGTGTCTCTGTGTGTCTCTGTGTGTCTCTGTGTGTCTCTGTGTCTCTGTGTGTCTCTGTGTGTCTCTGTGTGTCTCTGTGTCTCTGTGTGTCTCTGTGTGTCTCTGTGTGTCTCTGTGTGTCTCTGTGTGTGTCTCTGTGTGTCTCTGTGTCTCTGTGTGTCTCTGTGTGTCTCTGTGTGTCTCTGTGTGTCTCTGTGTGTCTCTGTGTGTCTCTGTGTGTCTCTGTGTGTCTCTGTGTGTCTCTGTGTGTCTCTGTGTGTCTCTGTGTCTCTGTGTGTCTCTGTGTGTCTCTGTGTGTCTCTGTGTGTCTCTGTGTGTCTCTGTGTGTCTCTGTGTGTCTCTGTGTGTCTCTGTGTGTCTCTGTGTGTCTCTGTGTGTCTCTGTGTGTCTCTGTGTGTCTCTGTGTGTCTCTGTGTGTCTCTGTGTGTCTCTGTGTGTCTCTGTGTCTCTGTGTGTCTCTGTGTGTCTCTGTGTGTCTCTGTGTGTCTCTGTGTGTCTCTGTGTGTCTCTGTGTGTCTCCGTGTGTCTCTGTGTGTCTCTGTGTGTCTCTGTGTGTCTCTGTGTGTCTCTGTGTGTCTCTGTGTGTCTCTGTGTCTCTCTGTGTGTCTCTGTGTGTCTCTGTGTGTCTCTGTGTCTCCGTGTGTCTCTGTGTGTCTCTGTGTGTCTCTGTGTCTCTGTGTGTCTCTGTGTGTCTCTGTGTGTCTCTGTGTGTCTCTGTGTGTCTCTGTGTGTCTCTGTGTGTCTCTGTGTGTCTCTGTGTGTCTCTGTGTGTCTCTGTGTGTCTCTGTGTGTCTCTGTGTGTCTCTGTGTGTCTCTGTGTGTCTCTGTGTGTCTCTGTGTGTCTCTGTGTGTCTCTGTGTGTCTCTGTGTGTCTCTGTGTGTCTCTGTGTGTCTCTGTGTGTCTCTGTGTGTCTGTGTCTCTGTGTGTCTCTGTGTGTCTCTGTGTGTCTCTGTGTGTCTCTGTGTGTCTCTGTGTGTCTCTGTGTGTCTGTGTGTCTCTGTGTCTCTGTGTGTCTCTGTGTCTCTGTGTCTCTCTGTGTGTCTCTGTGTGTCTCTGTGTGTCTCTGTGTGTCTCTGGGTCTCTGTGTGTCTCTGTGTGTCTCTGTGTGTCTCTGTGTCTCTCTGTGTGTGTCTGTGTGTCTCTGTGTGTCTCTGTGTGTGTCTCTGTGTGTCTCTGTGTGTCTCTGTGTGTCTCTGTGTGTCTCTGTGTGTCTCTGTGTGTCTCTGTGTGTCTGTGTGTCTCTGTGTCTCTGTGTGTCTCTGTGTCTCTGTGTCTCTCTGTGTGTCTCTGTGTGTCTCTGTGTGTCTCTGTGTGTCTCTGTGTGTCTCTGTGTGTGTCTGTGTCTCTCTGTGTCTCTCTGTGTCTCTGTGTGTCTCTGTGTGTCTCTGTGTGTGTCTCTGTCTCTCTGTGTGTCTCTGTGTGTCTCTGTGTGTTTCTGTGTGTCTCTGTGTGTGTCCGTGTGTCTCCGTGTGTCTCCGTGTGTCTCTGTGTGTGTCTCTGTGTCTCTGTGTGTTTCTGTGGGTCTCTGTGTGTCACTGTGTGTCTGTGTGTGTCACTGTGTGTCACTGTGTGTCTCTGTGGGTCTCTGTGTGTCTCCGTGTGTCTCTGTGTCTCTCTGTGTGTCTCTGTGTCTCCGTGTCTGTATCTCTGTGTCCGTGTCTCCGTGTCTATGTGTCTGTGTCTCTGTCTGTCTCTCTGTGTCTCTGTGTCTTTGTGTGTCTCCGTGTCTGTGTCTCTGTTTCTCCGTGTCTGTGTCTCTGTGTCTCCGTGTCTCTGCGTGTCTGAGTCTCCGTGTCTCTGTGTGTCTCTGTGTCTCCGTGTCTCTGTGTGTGTCTCTCTGTGTGTCTCTGTGTCTCCGTGTCTGTCTCTCTGTGTCTCCGTGTCTCTCTGTGTCTCTGTGTGTCTCCGTGTCTCCGTGTCTGTGTCTCTGTGTCTTCGTGTCTCTGTGTGTCTCCGTGTCTCCGTGTCTATGTATCCATGTCTCTGTGTCTGTATCTCTGTGTCTCCGTGTCTCTGTGTGTCTCTGAGTCTCCGTGTCTCTCTGTCTCCGTGTCTCCATGTCTCTGTATCTGTGTCTCCATGTCTCTGCGTATCTCTGTGTCTCTGTGTCTATGTGTCTCCGTGTCTCTGTGTGTCTCTGTGTCTCCGTGTCTATGTGTCTCTGTCTCTCTGTGTCTGTGTGTCTCCGTGTCTCTCTCTGTGTCTCCGTGTCTCTGTGTGTCTCTGTGTCTGTGTCTCTGTGTGTCTATGTGTCTGTGTCTCTGTGTGTGTCTCTGTTTCTTTGTGTGTCTCCGTGTCTCTGTGTCTCCGTGTCTGTCTCTGTGTCTCCGTGTCTGTCTCTCTGTGTCCGTGTCTCCGTGTCTATGTGTCTGTGTCTCTGTGTGTCTCTGTGTCTGTGTCTCTGTCTGTCTCTGTGTCTCTGTGTGTCTCTGTGTCTCCGTGTCTCTCTGTGTCTCCGTGTCTCTGTGTGTCTCTGTGTCTTTGTGTGTCTCCGTGTCTATGTGTCTGTGTCTCTGTGTCTGTATCTCTGTGTCTCCGTGTCTCCATGTCTCTGTGTCTCTCTCTCTGTCTCTGTGTGTCTCTGTGTGTCTCCATGTCTGTGTCTCTGCGTGTCTCTGTGTCTCCGTGTCTGTGTCTCCGTGTCTCTGTGTCTCCGTGTGTCTGTGTCTCTGTGTGTCTCCGTGTGTCTCTGTGTGTGTCTCTGTGTCTCCGTGTCTGTGTCTCTGTGTCTCCGTGTCTCTGTGTCTCTGTGTGTTTCTGTGTGTATCTGTGTCTCTGTGTGTCTCTGTGTCTCTGTGTCTCCGTGTGTGTGTCTCTGTGTCTCCGTGTCTGTGTGTCTCTGTGTCTCCGTGTCTGTCTGTGTCTCCGTGTGTGTCTCTGTGTCTGTGTCTCTGTGTCTCTGCGTGTCTCTGTGTGTCTCTGTGTGTCTCCATGTCTGTGTCTCCGTGTGTGTCTCTGTGTCTCCATGTCTGTGTCTCTGTGTGTCTCCGTGTGTCTCTGTGTCTCTGTGTGTCTCCCTGTCTCTGTGTGTCTCTGTGTCTCCGTGTCTATGTGTCTGTGTCTCTGTCTCTCTGTGTCTCTGTGTCTCCGTGTCTGTGTCTCTGTGTGTCTGTGTCTCCGTGTCTCTGCGTGTCTCCGTGTCTCCGTGTGTGTGTCAGGGCGTGGGTCCCGTCCCTGCCGCCGCCCGTCCCCAGCGATGTGGACCCCTTGCAGGGCCTCTACGGCTACACGGCCATCGTGAGCCTGCACAGCCGCTCACGATGCTGCTTCTACAGCGTCTACAGCGGCCTCCACTGCCACCCCGGTACCCTCACGGTGGACACGCTATGAGCGGGCGGGCGAGCGTGTGGGTGAGTGAGTTAGTGAGTGAGCGTGTGGGTGAGTGAGGGTGTGGGTGAGTGAGCGTGTGGGTGAGCGTGTGGGTGGGTGAGTGAACGTGTGGGTGTGCGAGCGGGTGAGTTAGTGAGCGTGTGAGTTAGTGAGCGTGTGGGTGAGTGAGCGTGTGGCTGAGTGAGCGTGTGGGTGAGTGAACGTGTGGGTGTGCGAGCGTGTGGGTGAGTGAGCGTGTGGGTGGGCGAGCGTGTGGGTGAGCGAGCGTGTGGGTGAGTGAGCGTGTGGCTGAGTGAGCGTGTGGGTGAGTGAACGTGTGGGTGAGTGAGCGTGTGGGTGAGTGAGCGTGTGGGTGAGTGAGCGTGTGGGTGAGCGAGCGTGTGGCTGAGCGAGCGGGTGAGTTAGTGAGCATGTGAGTTAGTGAGCGTGTGGGTGAGCGAGCGTGTGGGTGAGCGAGCGTGTAAGTGAGTGAGCGTGTGGGTGAGTGAGCGTGTGGGTGAGCGAGCGTGTGGGTGAGCGAGCGTTAGCGAGAGTTAGTGAGTGAGCGAGCGTGTGGGTGGGTGAGCGAGCGTGTGGGTGAGTGAGTTAGTGAGTGAGCGTGTGGGTGAGTGAGCGTGTGGGTGAGTGAGCGTGTGGGTGAGCGTGTGGGTGGGCGAGCGTGTGGGTGAGTGAGCGTGTGGGTGAGTGAGTGAGCGAGTGTGTGGGTGAGTGAGCGTGTGGGTGAGTGAGTTAGTGAGTGAGCGTGTGGGTGAGTGAGCGTGTGGGTGAGTGAGCGAGCGTGTGGGTGAGTGAGTTAGTGAGTGAGCGTGTGGGTGAGTGAGCGAGCGTGTGGGTGAGTGAGTTAGTGAGTGTGTGAGTGAGTTAGTGAGTGAGCGTGTGGGTGAGTGAGCATGTGGGTGAGTGAGCGTGTGGGTGAGCGAGCGTGTGGGTGAGCGAGCGTGTGGGTGAGCGAGCGTGTGGGTGAGTGAGCGTGTGGGTGAGTGAGCGTGTGGCTGAGTGAACGAGAGGGTGAGTGAGCGTGTGAGCGAGTTAGTGAGTGTGTGAGTGAGTTAGTGAGTGGGTGAGTGAGCGTGTGGGTGAGTGAGCGTGTGGGTGAGTGAGCGTGTGGGTGAGTGAGCGAGCGTGTGGGTGAGTGAGCAAGCGAGTGAGTGAGCGAGTGAGTTAGTGAGCGTGTGGGTGAGCGAGTGAGCGTGTGGGTGAGTGAGCATGTGGGTGAGTGAGCGTGTGGGTGAGCGAGCAAGCGAGTGAGTGAGCGTGTGGGTGAGTGAGCGTGTGGGTGAGTGAGCGAGCGTGTGGGTGAGTGAGCAAGCGAGTGAGTGAGCGAGTGAGTTAGTGAGTGTGTGAGTGAGTTAGTGAGTGAGCGTGTGGGTGAGTGAGCATGTGGGTGAGTGAGCGTGTGGGTGAGCGAGCGTGTGGGTGAGCGAGCGTGTGGGTGAGCGAGCGTGTGGGTGAGTGAGCGTGTGGCTGAGTGAACGAGAGGGTGAGTGAGCGTGTGGGTGAGTGAGCATGTGGGTGAGTGAGCGTGTGGGTGAGCGAGCGTGTGGGTGAGTGAGCGTGTGGGTGAGTGAGCGTGTGGGTGAGTGAGCGTGTGGGTGAGTGAGCGTGTGGCTGAGTGAACGAGAGGGTGAGTGAGCGTGTGAGCGAGTTAGTGAGTGTGTGAGTGAGTTAGTGAGTGGGTGAGTGAGCGTGTGGGTGAGTGAGCGTGTGGGTGAGTGAGCGTGTGGGTGAGTGAGCGTGTGGGTGAGTGAGCGAGCGTGTGGGTGAGTGAGCAAGCGAGTGAGTGAGCGAGTGAGTTAGTGAGCGTGTGGGTGAGCGAGTGAGCGTGTGGGTGAGTGAGCGAGTGAGTGAGCGTGTGGGTGAGTGAGTGAGTGTGTGAGCGAGCGAGTGAACGTGTGGGTGAGTGAGTGAGCAAGTGAGTTAGTAAGTGAGTGAGCATGTGGGTGAGTGAGCGAGAGTACGAGTGAGTGAGTGAGTGAGCGAGTGAGTGTTAGTATAAGTGAGCGAGTAAGCGAGGGAGTGAGCGAACGAGCGAGTGAGCGAGCGTGTGGGTGAGTGAGCGTGCGAGGGAGTGAGTGAGCGAGTGGGTGTGAGTATAAGTGAGCGAGTGAGCGAGCGAGTGAGCGAGGGAGTGAGCGTGTGGGTGAGTGAGCGAGTGAGCGTGTGGGTGAGTGAGCGAGAGGACGAGTGAGTGAGTGAGTGGGTGTGAGTATAAGTGAGCGAGTGAGCGAGAGTATGAGTGAGTGAGTGAGTGAGCGAGCGAGTGGGTGTGAGTATAAGTGAGTGAGCGTGTGAACGAGCGAGTGAGTGAGTGAGCGTGTGGGTGAGTGGGCGTGTGAGCGAGCGAGTGAGTGAGTGAGCGTGTGGGTGAGTGGGCGAGAGTACGAGTGAGTGAGCGAGTGGGTGTGAGTGAGTTAGTGAGCGTGCGAGTGAGTGTGTGAGCGTGCGAGTAAGCGAGCGAGCGAGCGAGTGAGTTAGTGAGCATGTGAGTGAGTTAGCGAGCGTGTGAGTGAGTGTGTGAGCGTGCGAGTGAGCGAGCGAGTTAGTGAT